TGTAAAACCCCAAAACCCCAAAACCCCATGATCTTTTAATTAATAAAATCTATTCAATAAATTCAATAAAAATCTAAATTTCTCACTAAATAATCTCTTTTGATATCAATTTTTACTTTTTAGGACTATAAATTGCCTAAAAAGTCCTTATTTATTGAGCTGCAATAGCAATCACATCAGCTGACTTGTATTTGGGAAAGATAGGCTCATTTACTTTACCATCATCTACACCCTTTAACTTTGGTTTTTACCCAATCATTTTATCATAATCTTGGTTAGCAGTCAAAGAAACTTCTTTAAAAGAAATATCTGGAATTGGTGTTGTTTTTGAATTAGAATACTGATAGATGTCAAGAAAAAGCTATTTAATGTCAACATATATTGTAGTATCAACTAGTACTGAAGTAGATGGGTAATCATAAAGATCTTCTAAGTTGTAAATTCTGAGAATTAATTGGTTTCTTTTTTAAGGAAGTATTGTGTATTTCACAATTTTGTTTCTGTCCTAGAATCTCTCATTAGTCTAATAGTTTTATTATCCAAACCCAACTAGTTTTGATTTTTATATCTCATTATTTATTGTATTTGAAACTTTTGGAATAGTCCACTGATTTGTGAAAAGGTATTGCAGAGGCTACTCATTCATTACTTACTACTATCTCTAAAAGCTAGTTTCCACATTCTTATTGAAAAAATGCACCCAGAAAAATGTTCTTACTTAGTTGCCTGACCCAAAAGGACCCATTTCATTCAAATCTTCATGAAGAGCTGTGTCATTATGGCTAAATATTCTCCTATTCACCATTAATTCAATTCTAGATGAGTCTTTAATGACAGTTCCACCTTATGATCTATCATTTATGATTGTCATTTGTAAGTTGCTTGTAGTATCATTTATGGAAATAGCCGAAGTAACTGGATAATAGTTAGAAGCTATACTAGCATTTGAAGTATATGAATAAGTAGGTCTTTTATTCCATTCTCTTCTTTGCATTTCAAGTCCATTTGAATCTGTATAAAAGACTCCATCATTCTAGAGTTTATTTTCATCTTATTTTGGCATAAAGCTAACAGTTACTTCTTAACTACCTTGCTCTGCTGGAAGTGCGTCTAGGAAAATCTCAAACTCAATTGTTGGCAATTTTTCATAAGCTCTAATTCTAAGTTAACCACTTCTATTGTTTGTAGTATAGTTGTAAAAAGTTGCATATATTTCCTAAGAAAAGTTGCTCCATAAAGCTTCAATACTTGCCAAAGAACTATAGGAATAAGATGTTTAGTTGTCAATCATTGGTTAGAATATATAATGATTACTACTTGAATGAGTATCATTTCCAGGATCTGATTCATAAAATCTGAGTTGTAGATAGTAAAATAAATCTTTGCCATCAGCAGCACTTACTCTGATTTAAACACCGTTATCATCCCAGCCAAATATTCCTACCTTAGAATATCCCTTGTTAAATTCCTCTATAGATAATCTTAAAGGCTTTTTAGCCTAAGAATCAGGTTAAATTAAGAGTACAGCATTTGAATTAGACGCAATTGTATTCTCAATAACCATATTACAATCATTAGTTGTAACATTATTTTGATAAGTAAATGGATGGCAATATACTGCTGATCTTACTGAATTAAACTTCTTCGAAGTAAGATCAAAGATTGATGCGTTATAATTATCGTCTGGTAGTTTTATTCTCTAATAGAATATCTCTAAATTAGATGGATTTTACACAAAAACTATGAATGCCTTCCCATCATAACTAGAAACTGGACATTCTAAGGAAGTCTGGTTTGTCATTTTACATTACTCTAACTGAGTAGTCTATATGCCGAATTATGAGTTAGCTTACTCTTTTACTATGTCTAGTAATATTTCATTATTTGCTTAAATTGCTTTTTATAGTCTCAAAATATGATCATTAGATACGAACTCTCTGCTCGTACCTGTAATTGCATCATGATGTGTAAATACACCTAGAGCATCAAGCATCTAATTCTGAGCTGATAAGACTTTACTAATATCATCATCAGTGGACTATTAATTCAAGATTTTAGAAACATATTATTTTGATGCAGCATCAAAATATGACTAACCATCTCTTACATACTTTTTAGAACTTGGTCTTGAGCTAAAGTAGCCTCCCCAAAAATCATCTACATCAGAACTATAAGGAAAAATATCATCATATCTTGTGGGCCATTCTATATTTGACTAAACGACTGCATCTAGATAATTGCTAGGGGTAGAGTAAAGTAAACTCACGTTATTATATTTTGAATTGATATAGGCTATCATCTTATCTATGGACTTAAAAGTTTAATGGGCATTTTAGAAATGGAAATCGCAACCAAAAGGAATCATTATGTGATTAGTCCTGTAAATACTTGCATACCTGTTAATGATATCCATAAACTCTTTTGTCTTCCAATCTGCATTATATGTGTCAAAGTTTTAATTAGTTATAAATGCGGTATCATTATCTGAATCATCTATGGAGTCAAACGAGAAGTAATTAGGTGGGCAATAGCCTTAGAGCATTTAATGAGTAAAGATCTAATTGTTTTTACCTAAGTGATTAAACATGGGTCTCCAAATATACTCCATTTCCTTATCATTAATTCTTCTTTTGATGTCATTATGATCTGCTCTGGAAAAGAAAATAGCATCGAGACCCATATCTGAATATAGTCTAGCATTTGCTGCAGAATGACCAAAGGGGTCCAGTTGCCATCCTATCCTAGGAACAATATTGAACTCTTGTAATAGATACTACTACCCATAATACATATTATTTATTTGATCCTCATAATTAGTGCAAGCTTCATCATGAGAACTCCATCCACCGTTTACAAGCTCTAGTCTACCTGTATTAACAAGATTTCTAACTTTAGTTTTCATATCATCAGTCTAATACTTCCACCACATTGATAAGTATTCACTTCTGTGTAACAAAATCTCTTGTTTTCATCTTTCAACATTTCATGAATGGTAGTATCTATGATATTCATGACAGATCCTCTAGCTTGGGTTTCATTTGTTCCTGAAAAGTACATATCAACTGTTTTAAGCCAGCCCAAATCATCATGAGTGTGTGGGATTATATGCACATAAATCTTTTAGTCATTAGACTTGCTATTATTAGATGTAAGATCTTTTGGAGGTTAACTCTTATCATTTAAAGTTTTCTCATTTATAGAATGAGATTTTTGCTAACTAGAATATGTTATAATACTTATGGATCCTATGAGAATCCAAAAAGCAACTATTTTCATTCGATAAATTTAATTATAATATTTGCAAAGTTTTGCAATTAAACAATTTCTACTAAATTATCTTATTTATTTATAGTGGGGTTTTGGGGTTTTGGGGTTTTGGGGTTTCGACATTATT